ATCAACGAATGTTTGGATATGAATCCAGACTTTTACAGTACGCTCATCTGAGCCCCAAGAAAAACTTATGCTCCAGCTGGGAACTGGACTCAAAAGAAGAACTTGTCTCTTTTCACTAGTCTGTTTGGATCACACTGTTCCCAAACACAGGACGTTGTTAAAAGTGTAGCCATATGACAAGTAGATACCAACTAACTATAGTGATGATTAATTGTCATCAAATCTGTTATTACCATTGAAAACCCCCTGAAGAATTAAGGGTTAGGTGTCTGTTAGGTGTTTGAGTTTCTGGGGAAAGACCCAACACAGTGTTTTTTTTGCACAGGGAATAAATCATTTTTTGTTTAACACCACCGATCCGGTCTGCGTTTGGCTTCTGTCTGAGCGAACGGTGACATGTACATTCTATTTGTTTTTGTCTGATGGAACAATCCAGTTCACTTGAAAGTCATTTTTTGCATAGATGGAGGTGTCACAATGTTATTTCAATTCAAATGCAACATGTGCTATTTTATTTGGCTGGTGGAGCGTGAACATTTTTCCTTCTCCAAAGTGGGTCACGACAGAAAGTTTTAAAACCACTGGGTCAATGTATGAAATGAAAGACAAGAACTGGTTATTGTAAGAAAGATGGTGTTTAAATGAAAAGATATATTATAATATTTCTATATCGGTAGATATTCGAGCGAATTCTAGTTTGTACATTTAATAGTGAACTACCGCTGCTGGCTCACCCGCCTCCGTCCCGAATAAAATAAATCCTCGGCACAAGGTACATGGGATATACTGGGCTGCAAAGGCTTCTTTTGATGTTTTAAACTCATTTTCAAGAAGGCATGAAAAAAAAAGTATCTATGAGTTCATCTTTTGGAGACTATATTTTGCGTGAAAAGTATTTACAGTAAGTGTCAGGTTTTAATCAAAGGTCCTTAACCACAGCAACTGGAGTGGAAACACAGTGGAGACGTTTAATCAATAAAGCAGGAAGAGTGTGTTGTGACTAATGCTGAATCAGTCAATCGGTGAATTTACTATTGTTGGGTCTGTCTGTGTTTCGTTTTTTCCCCCTCCTGGTTGTCAGCTGGTCTTGATGGGGTCGTCGGGCAGTTCCTGCCACCTGCTGCTTATCTTCATGATTGCCTCCACCCACCTCCAGTATTTAAGCCGGCCTGATCTACCAGTCTTCGCCAGTTCGTCAGATACTCCTGCGGTAATCTGTTTCCCGGCTGCTGGTCTTCTGAATAGTGTTTTGGTGGTGTAAAGATTTATACTGTATACTGTCCAGGATTTAACTTCCCGCCATTTACTTCCTCCTCAGATTTTCTTTGACCGGCTCGTCTCCCTGCCCTCGCCAGTTCCTGTCTGGAGCTCCTGCATCCAGCCTCCCAATTTCCATCTTCATCAACCTGTTTAAATAAACGTCTGTACCGAAAGGGGTCGGCCTAGTGGGTATTCGAAAGAACCTTAACAACTACGTCAAACATTATATGTTCCCCCCTGCTAGAGCGTGATGTCCAGGTTGAGACGCGCGTGAACAAAACATGGGATACATAATGTATCCTATGTTACAAAGCAAACTACAATGTATCATACATTGTAATTTGCTTACAGACAGGGACGGAGTGGATTGTGCAATTGCCTTAACATTTTAAGGTTAGTGAAACCTGTGATTGGCTTCTTTTCATACACACCTTTACGTTCTTCCTCCATACCTTTTTAAATTCAGTTACTTAGCTGGATGTCCACCCTAAAATCCTCAATTGGTGTCACTTATTTTGATGAACTGAACTCACGGGGTTGATGATCTGTAAAGCACCTCCAGAAGGTGCGTCAGCACTATAGAGCCCTTATACCACCAACGTCACCAAAAACATACGTGTGCGTGGTCTCTTGGTATTTTGCATCCTGCCGTCCAGAGACAGCACACATTAAATATTCTAATACATTGTTAACAGCATCAAAATGTCCCTGTCGTTGTCCTGGGCTACGCCAAACACCCATTTCATTGATTTATTTGATTTAAATGGTCCATGCACCCGTCCATCCATCATCTATGCTGATGTGAGGGTTTCAGGAAAGAGGATGTTGCATGTGTACGGACTGTAAAGCGATTGAATTTATTCTATTCATCTATCCATCCATCCATCCGTCCAACCAACCATCTATCATCTATTCATCTATTCATCCATACATCCGTCAATCCATCTATCATCTATTCATCTATCCTTCCATCTGTGCATCATTCATCAACTAAAATAGATCACATAGATTTCTTACAGCCGCGGCCCGACTCTTTGTGAGCTGGGTTTTGTTTACATGAAGCGCAGTAAACTATCTGCAGATAGATCGATAGACTCACTGCACTTTGATTGAAAGAAATCATCCGCCTAATGTCTTCTAGGGAGGTTGCTGTCCTTCTGATTGTATTCAAGCCCCCTGAGGGCGGCAAGTAAACCAATACACATCAGTGTGAATCTAACAAGAGTGAAACAACTTAATATTCCAGTGGCGTTGCAGGAGAGAAATTGCATAATCTATCATACATTAGGTTGTAAACAATTCCACTGTGAGGCGTTTGCTGAATTGGAGGAAAACAGTAAAGAAATAAATCCTGATTGGTCACCCCAGGAGGTCTGTCTGCATGCAAAAGGAATAGCTCACTGTCACCGCGCAGCGTTCATAGTCATCAGAATCTCACAACGCTAATTAGCATGGAGGGCCGGGGGTGTTATGGAAAACGAGGTTTTGCTGTCAGGAGTTATTTCAGAGCTGTGAAAACACGTCACCCTGACAAGAAATACGGGTCACTCGAATCACAAGTCCATCCTTTTCAGGGTCTAAATCAAGTTTGTACACTTACAGCTGCAGTCATTTGGATTTTTACATTAACATTGGATCAGACGAGTAGGTGAAATGGTGAAAATGTAAAGGTGTGGCTTCTATTGACAAAACCACACAGAATTATCCCCAGAATCTGCAGCCCCCCTCATCTCCATAGAGCACTTATCTGGCCTACTGTTTCGGCCATTCAGCAGCACTCTTTTTGGTTTAGTCTCACCTCTTTATGAAGCATTCTTTTCAGTTCATAGAGAACTAGATGAGCGTGAATGCTGGACACATATTTCCGGCGCCAACCATCTGTTCCCATAAGCAAAGTCAATGGAGAATTGTCTAAATCCTGCAATCAGGCCTCAACTCCAATGGTGGCAAAAATAAGTCTCATTGTCTTTTAAAAAATACAATAGCTTCAAATACAGCACGATGTGGTCCATGTATAGTGAAATACATGAAGAGTGTGCTTTAAGGGGAGGAGGGGGGGGGGTATTAACCTTTCAACCACAGAGTAGCCTTTGTGGTTCAAAGGCCACTTCCTCCGTGTTGTGTGGTCTGGTTGTTGGTGTTCTTGTCTCAGAACTTTACGTTTTTCCTTGTTTTCAGTTCATCAAAGTCAATCGTGACAGGTCCCCTAAAGTGAAGCATGTGGTTGCACATTGTGTCACTCCTTGTCCACTAATTTGAGGATGTAAATTGATTGTTTGATGTCCAACGCGACCACAGAGCAACATCTCCACGGTCCAACGTTAAGTTCCAGCCGTTGACCCTTAAAAGCAAGAAAAGAGCCACTTCCCAGGAAGAGTTTTCTCCAGGCCCTTTCATTTCTGGCTTGAAACAGCCGAAACCATCTTTGTATAGGAGGACTTTGTTATACTCCCGAGGCGTAACTTCCTAAAGCCCATACTGACTCAACACCGTCAGCTCTGTGTTTCTTTAAAGAGCAGATGTCCTTGCGACCGGCGAGGTCAGCTTTGGAGAACAATACGAAGAACTGGCTGCTGTATTGTGAATTTCCTGATGATGCACGGGCACAAACACCCTGCCAGTGCATACATTATCCACTCAACGTCGGAAACAGATCCTGACCTTGCATTATGCTAAGTGTGGCTGTGATTGATGTTTGTTTTAACACCGGAGGCAAAATCTAATGCTGCGTTGACACCAAAAGCGAAGCAAATTATTCGCTCAAGTAGATTCCGTGCAAAAGACGCAAAAACGCGAAAGGAGCGAAGCAAAAAGATTGTTGTTTTCTTTTCGCCAAAGTCTCAAAAACATTGCGAAAGCCCATCGGCGTCGAGATGCTCGTCATCCCAGCCATCCTCCTGCCAAAGCGTGAATATACTTTATGAAACAGCCGCTCACCAGGGACAGACAGACAGGCGCTCTGCAGCTGTGACTGAACGTCTGTGAGTCAGTTGGTGTCTAACAGAGACGCTGGCACCGATCCGACCCAACAGGTCATCAAACTGGCTGCTGTTACGGGCATGGCCAGAACCCCGGAGCTTTCCCTGGGGTTTCCTCGGGCTATTTTTATTTGTCGATTCCCTCTTTGCAGAAGCCTTTTCGGTTTAAAAGAGGCCTGCCGGCCATCTGGAATGATCTCATGCAACGTCAGGGCTGGAGATCGCAATTGCTGTAGACGTTTAAGACGATCAAGCGTTCCGCCCCAGGCATTTTCCAACCGCACTTACTAATTTGTCGTATTTGATGTTGCCACCAAGGTGCCACAGACTTGCCATTGCGTGCCAGTGACACGTGTAACCTGAATTTGAAGTTAAATGTACCAAAAAAACCCCCACAATTAACTACACCTAGACTGGAACACGTTTACTGTACTAATTGAGAAGTTTTCACTGTGACTCATGTATCATCTCTGGCTCCATCCATACAGAAAATCTGACATTTTTATTGTAGCAATTATGAGATTTTCCAAAAGTAAATGCTAAATAAAAGCTAATATTTGAGGTCCTATGAATATATAATAATTGCACACAATGACTGATGACTAAATGTGTCCTCAACATCTTTTCTGGATCCCATTGATTGTTTCCATAGCGGTTAAGGGAAAGTAGTTAAAAACAGACGTCAGCAGGTCGCATCTGACATTTCTCGCGCGCAGCCGGTTCTGCTCTCGACGCGCGCGCGCGTCGTGAGGGGACGGAGCGCGCGCGCACTCTACGTAGCAGCGCGGATTCTGTAGGAGGAGAAAAAGGGGACACGTTTGCTTTCTGTTCGCCGGTTAACGACCAATAACCCGAGCGTTCAGGCCGCCGGGGCGGGTTAAACGTTAACCGTCTCTCTTCGTTATATTAACGTCACTCTCTCCCGCTGCGGTTCGGTGACGCGGCGGCATTCTGCGCACGGTGACAGGTGAGACACGCCGGATGGGACCGAGTGTCTCATCCAGGCAGCCGGTTTGCAGACTGTCTCATACGTTGGCCGAGGGGACGTTGCTGTCTTTGACTCTATAGTGTCCCGGCCCAATTATAACACATAACCGGGAGCGATGTGCGCGCGTCTGTCGGCTCGCGCACTTCCTCGTGCAGTTGCGTCTGTGAAAAAAAAAAAAAAATGTAAACAGGCCACTGCGCATGCGCGAGATTTAGACGAATCACGTCCACCTTTTCGCTTCTGTGAAGTTAATAGAACATTTCAATTCTATAAAGTAGTTGCTAAAAGGTTGCTCATTTAATTATTTGAATAAAAAAAACATGAATTCTTATTTTTAACAGAGTTAAGAATGACCTGAGGCAGTGCATTTTTACACTAGTTCACTTTACGTGTAAATTCATTTTGTGGTAATATTTTTGTCGTTCCCCTCCAGATGAAAGTAGCAATGACTGAAAAGCATGGCTGACAAACAGGATAATGAAGGTAAAAGGAGGTGAGCAGCACAGCAGGACACTTCCAAGAATGCGTATCAGACCACAGGGGAAAGGGCTCTATGTAAAATGCAATGCAGCGGTGGTTTAATTTTATTTATTTATTCATTCTTATTTATTTTCAGCTCGCACTGCACTGCATTGCACGCCTGCATCCCAAGAACAGCCCTGCCCATTGTGTACCACCCAGACTACAACATCACCTTCATGGGCCTTGAAAAGCTCCACCCGTTTGATGCTGGGAAGTGGGGGAAAGTCATTCACTTCTTGAAAGGTGAGAAAAACGAGAGAAAGAGCAGCAGATGAGGACATCGTGTGTAACCCCCCACAACCCCCTCCGGCTGACGCATACATATGGGAGTCAACCGTAAGAGGTAGAGAACAAAGCGGAGAGAGAGAGAGAGTGGAGAGGTGAGATGTAGTTGCTGGAGAAGTGGAGATGCAGAGCAATAGAAGGCAGATCGTTAGAGTGCGCTCCCTGTGGGAGTGTGTGTCCGTCTGCAGCGTCGACGAGGCTTAGCATTCCAGGCCGAGGGGAAAACAGTTGCCAGAATAACTGGCTCGACTTCCAATAAAAGATGGTCTGTGCTGCTGGTAGTGGCAGAAAGGAGGGGAGGATTTTTGCAGATGAGACCATTGCACAATTGGAGAATCAGTCTAACAAAGTCAAGTGGGATCTGATAACAGCAGCTCTGTCCTCCACTGGATGGTGGCAGAAAAAACAGTCCCCATTTGCAGCGGCTGATTTGAGTAAATAATGAGCTAAATAAAGCAAAGCAAGTGGAGTACGACTACTGTACTGCACTGACCAACAACACTGTTAAATAAGTTGTCAGTTCCAGTGTGATAGCTAGTTATTGCACCGTGTCTTACCAGTATTCATATATTGCATTTTGTACAGAAGTGCGTTAAACACAATTAAAAAAAAAAAAAACGTAGTTAATGGTCTCTTAATTCATGTTGACATTGATCCAAATGGTCTGTATTGTATTTTAATTGACAAGAAATGAATATGCGGTGAGGTCGTTACTGTTTGTGACTAGTTATCATTCATTTGGCCGTAAAGATTGAAATCAGATGAAAGATTTCAATAAGTGAATTTTGTTATCACACAAATACGTATTCAATATGTAATTACATTGATTTGTCACCCAGCCCTAGTTGCCTTACTCAGTCTGCTTTTTATTACACTAGATGCCATTTGGCTGACGCTTTTTATCCAAAGCGACTTTTTTAACCCATGTTTTTTTTTTAAATAATTTGCCCGGGGATCAATTAGGGGTCGAGTGTCTTGCTCAGGGACACTTTGACATGGGACATGTAGCAGCCGGGGTTCGAACCGCCAACCTTGCGGACTCTCTCTACTACATGCGCCACCGCCAGTTTTATATAAGTTTGTTGCTTGTTGAAAAAGCTTTTGCTCTAGTTAACTCTTAACTCATGAAACAATGCCTTTGGTCTCAGAGGAGCAGTTTGTCACTGACGGGAATATCGTGGAAGCCCTGGAAGCGACCGAAGAGGACCTGCTGGTGGTTCACACTCAACGCTACCTGAACAGATTAAAGGTAGCTTTGCTTAATCTCAGTGCACCTCTCGTTGTGAGAGCATGGCGTGTTCACTAAACTTCAGCTCAAGATAATCTCACAGGAACTCATGCTCTTCCGTTTTATGTTCTGTGTGCAAAGTGGCCTCCTCTCACAGTAAGATTAACAACACTCTTTGATGATAGAAGGGTACCAGTTTAGGATCTCTTCCAGATCGCCTTGTTTTCGTGTGTCCCAATACCGGTTTTTCTGTGTAAGCCCACCGGCAGCATCGTCTTTAGTCCACCTTTTGTATCCCGACCCTGGTGGGCACACATTAGAACCCTCTGCTTGCCGTTCAGTGGGCCGAGGGTCCATCTGTGGCTTTGTTTTCCTGACAACGGACACACAGCCCAGATAGAAAAGGTCCATTGTACATGGCGTCTGATCTCATTCCGTTTCTCTTTCAGTGGTCGCTGGTGGTGGCGGCGATCACAGAAATCCCACCTCTGATGTTTCTGCCTAATTTCCTTGTGCAGCGGAGAGTGTTGAGGCCTTTGCGGACACAGACTGGGGGAACAATAATGGTACGTTTCCTTTTCATGTTGCTGCATGTCTCTAGCTGGTGACATTAACATATTTGAACCCATCAGCCTTCATTTGTTGCAGACAGTCAAAGACATAGGATCACGTCTTTATTTGATAGCAGAACACTATATAGTCTCTGTTCTTTGTCACTAAATATGCGCTTCCGCTGCTGACCCTAACGGCCTTCACGGCGTTTGCAAACCACACTCCATTCACCACCCTTGGTGCCTATTTGGCTAGAAATCTGCGTATAAGACATTTCACATCCCGCCAAAAACCAATTAAAGTTGTGTTGCTGCCCGAGTTAAAGCCCTGAGTGTACTGATACTTCTGTCAGCTGTTAGACAAACACATCTTCCAAACAAAGAAGGTTAACCATTTAGACTGTGATGTATTAACTGTCAAGCTCTGTAAAACCCACTTCTTTCAAACCCCACAACAAAAAGCTACGTATGAAAGCAATCGCCTCGCAGTTGTTGTGTAACACATTCCACGCAATCCTTCCACGCTACACTTTCAATAAACCAAAACCAAATGAAGCTGTCGAACCACTTTTGTTTGGTGAGGCACAGCAGTGTGTAGCCTACAGGGGTCGTGTGTTAGCCGTTAGCGCACGGTTTCCCCCTGCTAGCAGTGAAGTTAGTGTCTGCTTCAAGCTCCATTAGCTGTTGCCTAATGGCCACACACAACTTCCAAACAAATATGAGTTGGAGGAGCAATGAAACGCTCCTGCTGGCCGAGGTGTTCTGGAGAGAGAGAACCTTCAGCAGCTGAGCTGCAGGGAGTGTGTACGCTAGCTCCGTTAGCCATTAGCACCGGGCCGAATCCGCACTAGTCCAGCACATGGTTCACTCGGCTGCAGCGCTGTCAACGAATATTCTATATTTCAATATATATTATTATTATATATAACAGCAGTTTTTAACAACTATTCAAATGTGAAAATTAATATTCAAATATTCTTAAATTGCTTCCACAAAACTCTTTCTTTTAAAGCGAATATTCAAACGTAATTATTGAGCAATTTTGACAGCATTAGACTGTTGCCCACAACACACTGCTTTATTTTTTATCAAAACCCTTCCTAGAGAGGCTACATCTTTTATACTGCTAAAAGTGTGCGTGTGAAGTGAATCCCTGCTGTGGGGCGCGGTTTGCGCCTGCTGAGGAGGAATGACTTCCTTGGAAAAGCCTGTAAATTGTTCCTTTTCTTGGCGCTTGAGAACGACGTGTTGTGACGAGAGAATGAAATAGTAGGACCAGGTATGTTAAAGATGAGACATCATATCGTATCACACACTCACAGTAAGACAGAAGGATGAATGTGAGGAATGTGTCAGGCTTCACTTGGGTTTCCATAAGTAGAAAGAAAGATATCTTGTATCTGGCAGGGGGGTCAAACTCTATGACAGAGAGGGCCAAACTCTTTAACTGGTACCATGTCGAGGGCCAAATAGAGCTAACATTTCTTCAATGCAAACAGAAAACGTGTTTAGGTAGGCTACATTCTACGCACATGTAATCGAGGTAGATGTTTGGACTCGTCTCTTGTGCATCAGTAAGACAACTCTTGAGTGGGTTGTTGTTCATCTTCATCACACAGAAAAGAGCAGCATGGAGGCAGCGCTAGGGCATCGATTCGGGGACACATCCATTCATTTACTACATTTATGGTCACCAATTAAACCCCCAGAGCGTGTCCTTGGACTGTGGGAGGAAGCCCACGCAAGCACAGGGAGACCATGCTAACTGGTTTCTAACCCAGGACCTTCTTGCTGTGAGGCAGACAGCGCTAAAAACGCTAAGTTTATCGGCACAACGGGCAGCCGGGAAACACGGCGGCGGAGACGTGGTTTGTCGCTGCGTGGCAACACGTAAAGTGACCAAAGCCTCCTTGCTGCATCTGAGTCCCTGACAGAAAGCGGTCAGTGCATCGTCCTCGAGTGTGGACGTCCCCGAAGCTGGAGCCTCACCCACTGAGCTGCGTCGTTATGTCGCTCATAAAGGACGGCTCGCATTGCCACTTTGCGTCCCCAAGTTCTGTAGTGTCTTTTCCTTTTGTTCAGTGCAAATCTCTAGATAATTGTTGGGTGATTAACCATTAACTTGACATGAAGGTTCTATCCCGATGACCAGAAAGCCGTCGCATTTGCAGTGATGAGACCACATGTTCTTGCGAGTATTGGAATTGAAACACAAGGGATCATCAGAAAATGGATACAGGCCCTCACACGTTTCCTGTTGTCTTTTCGTCGGTTCAGAAGCTCTGTAGGTTCTCCACGTGGTCGGAGGGCAGTGAAACAAAAGAACTGGAAGTGTTTCATTGTGACCTTGAAACATCCTTATGATTCCAGACAGTTCTTCAGTGAACCCAACTTATTTCTTGTGAATGCCAAAGCCCCTCAATGATTGTCCCTGTATTTTCCTGGATAATTGGGGGCTGTTCTCTCATAAATTAATGTTTCACTCATCTTTACCCATCGGTCTGTGTTGATTCGAACTAAGCTGAAATCTTTCGCCCCCCACAGGCAGCAAAGCTGGCCGTCGACCGAGGATGGGCCATAAACGTAGGTAAGTGAGTTTCTAGTAGATACTTTTAAAACGCAAAAAGGGGCCGTCGATCGCTCTGCACCGTTACTGTCAAAGACGAGGCCGCAGGCTCTCCGTCCAGATCCCGCTTCGTCACGGAATGTCCCCGTAGAGTTTGGATACACAGTGGCCGGGCTGAACGGGTCTTTGACTCCAAAATATATCGATTAATGAAGCAAAGGTCCTTTTATTATTCATGCCAAGTGGGGGGAACGGAAAAGAAGGTGGCGTCAGACTTTACTCAGCTTCTTTGCACCTTCTGTTGATGAAGTTTACTTTGGGGTTCGAGGGAGTCCTCCCTCCTTACAAGTCCTTCTCGTGGCTTCCGTCCCCAAAGACCGGTCCGGCCCTTCCAGCTCGGTGCTGTCCTCTCTCGTCGTTCCCCTTGGCAGCCAGGTGCTCTGGCTTTTAAGCCCTGCTGCAATGAAATGGCTTAAACACCTACAGCTGGTTGTGCCGTGAGGCATTCTGGGGGCTGTAGTGTGGGGTGGGGCAAGCGATCCTGTTTGGGAACGTAGCAGCCTTCCACCACGTGTCCCCTTGTGATGCCACACAATAAAGATAAAAAAAAATCGTATTCAAATGTGTCTGACATGTGCATATTGAGTGCGTGGACCCCCCGAGGACGTGGAGGTTGAGGCTGTTTATGGAGGCCAGCCAATGATTGGTAATCATACTTCATCCGTCGCCTCTCTGGCCTTTATTAGTATTCAACTCTTCCCGCTGGCTTAATGAACAGGAGCATAGCAGGCCGTAGGGGAGTACAACTCCTAACCTGAGTTAATCCTTTTCATCCCAATTTGAAGAAAGTCTCTTCACAATCTTTAAAAAAGAACAGGAAGAAATGCTTATCGGCACTCTATAAACATTTCAGTCGCATTTCAGCGGCCCCATTCCGGTGTGACGAGCGGCGTTGAACTCAATAACAGGCGTTTTGAAATGATGGAATCTTTTCAGTTGTGCGGTGAGCTGTTTGGCTCGTCTGCTGCCCCTGACATTGAGCCTGGTGGGTTTCCTCTTCCCCAGGAGGAGGCTTCCACCACTGCTCCAGCGACAAGGGAGGGGGCTTCTGCGCCTACGCCGACATCACTCTGGCCATCAAGGTAACGGGCCGTGGCTCAAACGCAGGCCAGGACCCAAAGAAATGAGAAATGGCGCTAAGATACATTCAATATAGTTGTGTTGCTGTGGCCTTCTTTGCTCTGCTATGGTCGACAGCTTATGGCGGGTAATGCTAGTTCATTTTAGCAAATTAAATACTAATCCTCTGATAAGGCAGAGTGTATTTCGGCAGCCTGGGGCCTTTTTTGTGAAATTTTTATTCTCACTGGGAAAGCGTCAGATGTGTTTCTGTGTAGTGAACGTGGCTTTATCCACAGTGGTCGCCGCAATCCGACCCGGAAGCCGCCAGCGGGTAAATTTGTGCAGCACTTAACAGTTCAGTTGTAGTGAACAAAAATTGCATTTTTAGGAAGCTGTTATTTGTGTAAAGATAACCTCAGAACTCATTTGGGGGTCGCCTAGCAACACTCTCAAAACCCTCCGACGGGGCCGTGATCAACCGAGCGATCAAAGGTCAATAACACATTGAGCTCCAGCTGCTGATTGATAAAGTTTATGTAGTTCACCGCTATTGAAAATGGCTAATATCGTTCAAATGTGACTCAATGCGAAAAATTAGCTCTGTGTTTGGTATGAACGGCCCTTTATCCTAAAACGACTACATTGGCTGCTTCTTTAATGCTCTGCAGCCGATGAACACCGAGCTCTTCAGGCTTGAGTTAAAGCAGACAAACATGAAAGGAGCCGCGTGTTTAAAGGCAGCTATTGAAGACGTTCTGTTCCATATGAGTAAGACTGTTAACCAGTAGAGGATTTGAGTGGAAAGAGTTTTTTTTTGTGTGGACGTTTCTGCAAATCTGCTGAAACGTAATGAAATATCCAGACGGTGAGTGTGTCATCTGGCCTTTCAGTTCCTGTTCGAGCGAGTGGAAGGCATCTCCAGGGCTACCATCATCGATCTGGACGCTCATCAGGTGAGCCGACGGCATTGTCGCCCCCCGCCGCGTCGATGTGGAGTGCTGCCCCTCCCCCCCCCCCAAGGGCAATCAGCGAGGCTGCCCCGGTGGGCCGAACTGGCCTTACTGTCATATTCCGTGGAATGTTTCTGAAAGCTCTCCCTCCACCGGCAATCAGCTGAGTGCATGCGGGTAATGTTGGACTATCGCTGGGCTATGGGCCTTAATAATGTCAGCTACCCGTGTGTTCTGGCTTCTTTACTCCGTGATGTGTTTTACAAAAAGGGGGCTGCAGCACCACTGTTGTCATTCAACTCATTCTTCGATTTGGCCAATAGATCCATCCGATTTTATCATCATTTGGCAGGCAGGGATTCAATTCTTATTGACCCACGTGACTGTCTCCCATTGACTTAAATCATTAAAAGATGTCTCTATGAATTCCCTGTTGCAACAATGACAAATCGCGTGTGGTGTTTTGAATCCAGCAAAGTCGAATGCAATTCCTCAAATAAATTCAAACCTTTCCCAAAAATGAATGTTTTGAGCAAAAGAGATCTGAGCTGTGTTGGATTCCGTCTGGACTACTAGCAGAAAGAAACGCAGGTTTGCCGGCGGGTTCTTAAAATGTCCCATTTGTCCTTTCCTGGCTGCTATCGCTCATTGGTAACGACGGGCCTCTCCCTATTGAAACAAGTATCCGATCAGCTGCTGAGTAAATAATTCATGAAGAAACAATGAACAAATCTGCTTGGAGGTGGTTCTGAAGTGCCCCTCTCTGCAGATAATTGGGCAAGAGATAAATATTGGGGATAAGCAGTAAAAGTTTGTTCACAGAGATGGGAATCCTCATGGGAATCAGGATTATGACCTAGACAGCCGTGTTGCTTATTCACCCAGTCAGCAACAAAACTATAATGAAACACCTTAGGTTCAATTTATAACAAGCTCTGCTAGATCCCTGCTGTGAAGGCACGTCGCCATCCGTCTTCCGTGAGCAGCGTATACGCTGAGTGAGACAAAGCACCCGGACGAAGGATTTTAATACGTTTTTACCTCCATGCAAGACAACGCCATGTTACTCTTTACCTCATTGAAGGGAGAGACAGTCGACCTTCTCATCAACACTGGGCAACAACACAAACACGCATACTACTACTACTACTACTACTACTTGGTACATTGTAGGGTGGCAGATATTAAAAGGTATTTCTTAACGTTTGATGAATAATCAGTGGAGAGTCGTAACGAAAGCAAGTCGGGACCACTGACAGGCTCACTGAATTATTTACAGTGATACCAAAACAGAGCGGCGCTGCATTGGTGGCGGCGTGAAGCCTCGGGCACGGAGAGCCGACGAGGTGCCACGTCGAATGGTTCTTGGATAGAAAACTAACGTAGAATCATTTGTAAGACGGTCCCCAGTCTACCATTCCTCGGTAAGAGTAGCAACAACTCATTGCCGGGGGACGGGCCGTGGTGCTGTGGTGTTTTTTTTTGGGGTGTGACCCCCGGGGGGGGGGGGGGGGTGCCAGTCAAAGGAATGGGGGCGTTTGTTGACACAGTGCTAATATGATTCTGGACACAGAAAGAGGGGCAGTGCTTTCCTCCGACGTCATGAAAACACCAAATGAGGGAGTATGTTTTCATGGGTCGGCAGCATCAAAGCTGTCCTGTTCACTCAATCACACATCGTGATCACGCGCACGCTACCCAGGGAATAAGTGATCGGACGGTGCGCCGGATGATGTAACCAGCGCCCTTTATTCCGATACTCTCATCCCCTGTAAACACCGGGCCGTCTGTGCAAACAGTGCGTCTTCCTCCGTTGCTGCCGGCGCAGCTCTGGGGGGGCCGGAAAAGACTGAGCCGGACGCTCTGAGAAAAGAGTACGAGAACGGGGTTCACGCGACGACAGGGAGATTTACTGGATTTCACCTTGTGTCACCCGGAGGGCTGACGGAGGAACATGACGGCCAAGCCATGTGAAAACACGGAGCATCTATTGGTTCGTCATCCGGCACTGACGCTGCGTGCTACAGTTCTAACAGCGCTGCTATGCATTCTGTAATAATGTGCACGGGAAAAGCCACTACAGCTCCAGCCCTTTGCTACAGTCCTGATAGATGGTTCTAGCATGTGAGACCCCACATATGTTAGAACTTGCTTTAGGCGTGTTGGGAGCTGGGACTGAAGCCTTTTGGCTGACACTAGCAAATGGCAGCGAGGCGGTGATCTTTCATTGTACAGTATGTGTGGACGAGGACGAGACGGCCGGCAGCAGATGAGCTGATTTACAGTCTCAGGCCGTCTCTTCCAGGCGAAGCACAGCAGGGAGTTTCTGTCTCGAGTCTCGTTTGCAGGTTCATCCATGTAGTACATAGTCCATATTTACCCTTTTTATATGGACTACGTATAAATATACTGCTGCCCAGGTTTTCACGCTAAGGCATACATTGTAATACATTGCTTAAAAATGTCAGGGGCCACGCTGCCTGCTGAACTTAGCAATGGAAATAAGATCTTTACATCTTCACCAGTAGCAAGGAAGCCAATAAGCAGAATTAAGTAAGTAGTCATTTTAATGTGTGATGCCTTCAGTCAACAACAAACTAACACACAACGGGCACCAGATGGTCCTCAATCTGGTGCCACTCAGTCAGGTGGGCACGTGTGTCTGAGTGTGGACCGCGGGCGGCTTTGTGTCACAAACCAGAGTGAAAAAAACAATTACTCCGTTGGGTTTGTGATGTTTAAAGAAGCACCGCCGGTGCTTTTTTTTCTTCTTCTTCTTTCTGTGTTTCCAGGGAAACGGACACGAGCGTGATTTCCTGGACGACGGGCGGGTGTACATCATGGACGTGTATAACCGCCACATATATCCTGGGGACGGTTATGCCAAGCGTGAGTCATCAGGTTGCTTTTTAACCTTCGTATTTCTAGGAAGAGCTAACATCTGCACACCAACATCTGGCTACATCGTCGTAAGTAGAAGACAATAGAAGACAGTTATTTACATTCGATATTATATAACCTTTGCGTTCCTAACAATGTTGTGGTGTTGAAAGGACAGTTTTCCCTCACTTTGAAAATACAAATTGTGTTATTCAGGAATCCGGATAGTTTTGGTGTACTTGCTGAATATACAGTATAAGTGTACTGTCATAGCGACATCACCCATTGGTTTGGGCACTGCTGTTTTGAATCATTGGTTTGGACGTTGACATCAACCGACGTAGAGACGCTGTATTCCTCCCATGCTGCAGAAGTAGAGTCCTTTTCTCATAAACTATCTAAGCAGACTTCTTCAGCAAGATTTTCGTCCGCTTCCTTCCGTAGTTTGTTTGAGAGAAAATAGTTACTAGATGACACAAGATCCATGGCTTATTCACACGGACCGGGTCACTGTTCCTCGAGAGATCCATTGCTTTTTTTTGGCATTATGAGCACCAAAGGACAAAAGCCACCTCTTTCCAATGAACGCCGAGAGACGGCAGGTCCGTCACACTAGAACAACCCAGGCAGATGTTTGTATTCTGGTGGCAAAGCCCCACCCTGCTCCTGAGGTCTGCTCAGAGGTCGGGGTTGATGTTGGAGTGGAGGGGGGCCGTAAATGTCCCTCGGTGCAGATTGAGTTGTGCTGTGATTTCCCCCCCGCGAACCACCTCCTCCTTCTATTAGCCCCCAGCAGGACTCCACATACGAGAACAATCACAGCACGCTGATCCGTCAATGCGTCAAAGCCGAGCCGACAGCGACCACATGTTACGCCTGGATGCTAACAACACACAACGTCACAGTTTAGAAAAAGCTCTCTTCTGCCTGGCTGACTTCCTCCCTGCAGCTAATTTAGTACTTGAATCGTCTCTTCCCCTTAATGAAGTGACATGAAATGTACATCCTGGCTTGTTCAAGATAAAAAAAAAAAGCTTCTTCCAGTTTTTTCCTTCTGCTTTCAAAGACCAAAGCTTGGACTTTTTAGTTTTTTATTCCATTCGTTGCTCTTTTCTTAATACTTTTTAAATTTTAAAACATTTGTTCGAATGACTTTCCATTAATTATTGAAAACACACGTACTTAAGTGAAGCATTGCTGCAGATTTTCTATAGATACAGAAACACATTGCACATTATATAGAAATTCACCTCGCAGAAACGTTTTAAGGCTTCATTCTGCCTCGTGCAGCAATGTTTATCTCCACCTACATACGAAGGTGCTTTATTGTTCTCGCCAGGAGCCATAAAGAGGAAGGTGGAGCTCGACTGGGGCACCGAGGACTCCGAGTACCTCCAGAAAGTAGAGCTGCACACCGACGGGGCGCTGAATGAGGTCCGCCCCGACATCCTCGTCTACAACGCGGGGACGGACGTCTTGGACGGAGACCCCCTCGGAGGACTCTCTATATCACCAGAGGTGCATTTCAGTGTTAAAGTTCAGCACTTTCACCGATATGTTGCATGTTTCACCATTTGAAAACATGTGGAACCATCAAAATTCAAAGAAGTAGAAGAAGATTTTCCAAAGTGACTTTAATAACACAAAATAACGACGTGAGCTGCACATTTTACAGCTTCATTTAATTCAAAAAGGCCGTAGCCAACAGCAAATAAGATAAAAGACATAAGTCACACAAGTCCCCTCAACAATGAGTCCCAATGCATCAGTTCTGTTCATTTCAGATGTCATTACATACAGGTTCAAAGGTAGAGCGACGTCCTCTGAGAAGATGCTTGTCTCAGTGTGAGAAGACGTGTCTTATTGTGGACAGGCTCAGCTGTGTTGGTCACGTGACCACTTTGTCCAGCTAGTTTGTCATGAATCTGAAAGCACACAAGGAGCTGATCTGCATGAGCCAGATTTAATACAGATGTGTGTGGGTAGCAGAGCTAATTTGTGGCTTTGGGCCGTCGTTTCGCCTGGAATCGGATGAATAAAAGCCTCTTGGTGCAGCTTCAGTAATTGTTCCATAAAGTTGTGGTTGAACGCGTGTTTCTGTCATGCAGAACATTCCGTCATTATGCTACAAATTGCTCCATAATCAATGAGATTTTGGACACAAGCTGTTCCGACATTCAATCAAGGGCGTTTGCCGGCGGCCAGATAAAATTCAGGTACTATTCAACAGTTTGATATTTAGCCAAACACATTATAACCACTGAACAGAAGTTAGTCCTGGGAAAAGTTGTCACCGAAGCCGCAGCTAACCGCGTTAGCTTTGACCAGCAGACGCAAAAAGCCAGACGCAGCAGCTCATTAACATTCATTTTACAACCTCTTTCGAACCCGGCTGGTTTTTAGGCCCCTGCTCAAAAATTGCATAACCACGATGAAAACAGTTATATCTGCAACCGTAAGGTCTATTTAGACACTCTGCGTGTCACAATAAAGGGAACGCTCGTGAGGTTTTGTATATATGTACATATGTCGCAGTTCAAGACAAAATAATGCTCGCATGCTCCACAAATGGAAAAAGTTTGATGTTTGCCTGAATTAGGAAGAACTTTCAGGATGATCATCCATTTGGAATTATAATATTAGGGCTCCAAACCTCTACCAGATTAGACAATATGTTATCATTCTCTCTGCAGCGGTTTATTTTGACAAAGTGAAGATCACATTTTGCAGGTCGTGCTTTGGCCAGTGCAGGATTTGTGTTTTGTTTTGCTCTCGTCACCCCAAAACAAACACGTAAACAAACACAACTCTGCATTAATTGTCATGAATTGTGCCGAATGCCCTCACGGAGCCCCTCCTCTCGTCCTTCTCTGCCAGGGCATCAGGAAGCGGGACGAGATCGTGTTCCGGGCCGCCAGGCGACGGGGCGTCCCCATACTCATGGTGACGTCCGGGGGTTACCAGAAGAAAACCGCTCGCATCATCGCCGACTCCATCCTCAACCTTCGCCTTCAGGGCCTGATCGGAGCGGAGGCCCTGGAGGGGGAGGGTTCATCGCCGCCGCCGCCGGCGACCAGCATGATGCTCTCCTCCGCTGCGTCCGCCGCGGTCTGAGACGCTGTGACCACCGCTCACATTCAAAGACGCTCCGCTTGGACGGTGAGCCGCACTGTGCGATTATTGTAGAGTTCAGACGGAGGTCAACCAATGCTCTTTTGCACCTTTACACTAACAAACTGCACTTTAGAGAAGTGTTCTGTTCTCCCAGGAAATGTAATAATGTATAATCTTTAAAAGATGTTGTACATTACCAGTCCATGAAATTGAAAAGGGGGTTTGATGTTCTTACAGATGGGAAAGCATGATAATCATCCCCATATTCATACAAGTTAATACATCTTAGAGGTGAAACACGAGATGCTTTCACACGAAAACTAATTTGTTTTATTACTTCCAGTGTAAATTTGTGTTTTTCCTCTCGGCGATGTTGTATTCATAAAAGAGTTGACGGCGTCTCATTAATCAGTTCAGCTAATCATTACTTTCTTTGCTTCAATCCACTCGACCTTTGCAGTTGGCGTTTGAAGGGAAGGTGCTGTGACGTTCGGTCTCTTGAGCCCGAGCACTCTGGGCTTCAGATTAAAGCGCAACTCGCCGACGCGTTCAGCAGATAATGAGCCTGTTTTCCTTCTCGTGACTTTGCTGAAGTCGGACAAACCGAGCTCTCTCCTAGATATGTTCATGCACGCAGGGCTTTCTGTGAAAGGAGACTAAATATACAAAAACTGTTCAATATAACTAATGCGACTCTGAGTCGATTATTCCGGTCATGGGTTTTATTTCTGTGGTTGTTTTGCTAATAATGATAATAGACTGGAATGGAGAAAAGGCCCTTCGTTTAGTTCCCTGAAGCATATTTCACTCTCCTCGGCTCTGGCTCCTCCCCTAAACTTTATGGGGGTCAAGTTCCAAAAGTCAACGGTGTTTTTTTCTTTGCACCGCGGTTTCTTCTTTCTGTTTGTGGATGTGGGGAGCGAGAGCGTTTTTGGCTGCACGCCTCGCGCGACGCGCCCCTACAGGTGCACTGCTCGGCGGCGAAGAGACGCGTAGGTTATCGGATTCGCGGTGCCGTGCTGAGTACGGTCAGGAAGAACAGCCGGACGATACAAAGCTGTGGACCAAACCAGAAGAGGTGTCGGCGTCCGTGCGTCTTAATGAAGGAATCCTCTGTGATTTTCCTCCGCTGCTCCGGCTTTCTTCTCTCTGGTCGTTAAAGAGTCGAGTATCACTCAAACGATAAAAAAAAAAAACTCCTTTGAAGAGCACGAAAAGCACTGTTCGGTTCCTCATCCAGGATGCTGGTTGGACGCGTTCATAATGAAGGGGGGGGGGGGGGGGGGGGCCTCGGGGGTCAGTGCTAATTAGCTGAAACCCTTCATCTGGCGCGCTGCTCTTGAATGCGGCTGAAAGGGTGAATACCCTTTTAATTAGGCTCCTGAACATATCACTCACTCAATAATGTCCCCAACTCGGCAAGAAACCGCCGCGTGGGTCATTTGGTACCATGAATAGAGCGCTGTTTCTCTGAAAATGTTTCATTTCTGAAAAATTGCCCCGGCTTCTCTCCAAATGACGTGCGCTCGTCCCTCTGGACGCGTCACCAAGTGGTTTCTCTTTTTTTTTTTTCAGCACGTTTAAAACGATCCACTCTTCTCTTCGATGTATTTGATCAAAAATTCTTTTTCATTAAGGAACAATCACAGTACGAAGCTAAACGCTCAGTTGACACGATCGACAAGTATGAAATGTTCGTCATTTCCTCCAGCGGGTGGGAGGGAGGGAGGGAGGGAGGGAGGGTCTTCACGTTTCTTTCCACCGCGTGACAGCTGAGCAAAACGTTTAATGTTGTTTTAACGAAAAAACAAAACTGTCCAAAGTTCTGGTCCGTTTGTGTTAAGTAAATGTACCTTTTTATCACACATACATTTCAAACTGTCCAGCAGCATCTTATTGCATCGTTTTTGACAGACGTTTAATCCTGTAGGGCCTCAGAGTTCTGGCTGGAAGAACAAGGACAGACAGACTATGATTTATGTCTTTATGGTGGTTTTTCCTCGCTGCAGTGAAGCTTTTTAGTGGTTTGTTTCTAACAGCATGCAGTACAAATGATATAGTGTGCTTCTTTCCTTCGGGCTGTAGATCGCCAAAGGAATCTGATGAACAATAAGCCCAAAAGCAGTAAATAAATCCAGGGAGCCTTAACGACTGCTGGATTTCATTCACTCTGATTTCATGTCTTGTGAAAATCCATACGATGCCTTAAGTTTGTTTCACAGAAGCGTAGTGGGCCGTCTTTTTGTTTCCTATCCCGTCTTTTACTGTCCAATGTTATGCACCAACCGCCATGTCAAATTCCTTGTATGTCTAACAAATTTTGGCAATAAATGTCTCATTCCTGGTTTGATGCCGTTACCAATTCTGAATTATTCAAATTCGTGGCTCTTGAGGCTCCATGAAAAGGCAAACTTGTGTTTCCAGTCGTGCTAATTACCTTAGTGCTGCTGTAAAAAAAAAAAAAAAAACGCCAACTTAGATGTAATTAAGAATAAAACACGTTTGTGGGCCGCTGGCGTTCTGTTCAGCGTGGCACGCTGTCAAGATGCTGCGGTTTAAATTGTGTTCCCAGCTTGTGCCGCTGTGCCTTCCCGTGGGAGCCGTCGGCCGCTGCCACTCACAGCACAACGGCCCCCGAGAGGAAACGCCACGCGGCATCAACGGGCTGTCACAGCGTGCACCCGACTCGCCCTCATCCAGCCAATCACCTGACAGCCGCTGCCCACGTCACCCGGACCCTCAAAGCACTCGACACGAGTGTGTGGAAGCGGACTACAATGGAAGGGAGACGGCGCTCTGTGGCCTTTTACTTGAAGAGGCCGAGTAGACGCAGATGAACACCATTGAAAATGCCAGACAGATAAACACATGAAGCCAGAGGAAGAGGCCCTAGTGGGGAAAAGGGGGATGCTTTTGGCCATTTGAGTGACGCCCGCTAACCGGGAGGAACCCCTTCCCAGAGGGCCTGATGTTCTGGAGCACAGGCGTCAAACTCGAGGCCCGCGGGCCGAATCCGGCCATCCACGCGGCAGTATCTGGCCCAAACCTGGAGAAACACATTTTCCCTGCGATGAAAAAGCACAATTGTCATGCAGGTTGATGTCATCTGACCTGCAAAGACGTGACCACATGAATTCAGTCAGGAAGACTGGAGAAGCTAATGCGAGCCCCCCGGGGCCCCCGCTGATGTGGGTACGCCACCAGACGATTTGGGGGGTTGCATGTGGCAACCACCAGTGTCTGGACCCCCCAAAGGGGGTGGGGGGGGGGGGGGGGGTCTCTGTTAAATCGTCTCCGTCCACCTCAAACTGAGCCGAGCAGTTGCCGCCTGCCGGCTCTGATCTTTCTTTGAGCCGAGCGCGTCGTGCTGCTACAGAGAGACACCATCGTGTGCAGAAAGTGTTGCTTTTCTACACGTTGGTTCATGTTCGTCCTCGATGAATCGCAGCCGTCATCACAAAAACAGCAACGTCTCTTCTGAAAAAACAGCATTAGTCAAAATAATCCAGTGAGAGCAATTTTTTTGTATGAACAACGGTTGAAAGCCAAATAGTATTTACCGACACCGGGGTGGAGAATTGATGGTGAAAATGACAAATGCACCAACGCAAAATCCAAATTGTATCGTTGGCAAGAGAAGAGGTTCTGTTTTGAAGCATCGTTATTGTTTTTTTTTTAACAAAAAGAGAGTAAATTGTTTTGGATTTGACTGTAAGGGATTACTTCATGTTACATTACATTACTGTCCTCTTGTATCTAAAATATGAGAGTTCCTCCACCGAATGTTCTGCTGCGTGTTTGCTTTCTTTTAAAGAAATAAAACCGTAGGTTGACAATATTTACTGCACAGTTGAGTTACTTCCCACCCGATTCATGACACATTGAAATATTCAGGTAAGCTAAATGGCTTTACTTTCAAATCAGATATCATATTTCATTATTTGCTTACCCTAACTCTTTATATCCATTCATTTGTTCCTATGCAGAATTCGTGGCGTGACAGAAACCCGGAGGGACGTCTCGCGGTGATCGATCACGCCGACAAAACAATCAGCCGGGCTGAAGCCTTCCGGATCGCCCAACTGTTTGTGTTGTTCCGAATAATCCCCGAAATGCTTCAGCTCCCTGCCGACGGAGGCACCTCCTCCGCCCCTCCATTCATCACTCGCTGACCATTTAGTGCGCGGCCGCTCCTTGATTGATCGTGTTTATGGTCTGAACCCGCTGTGTGATTGATGAAGTCAAGTGTTTGTGCAACCCGACGCCGCTCGGGCTAAACACGCGGAAAGGTAAGAGGCAGCAATGCGTTCTTCATTAAAAAATGGTAGTGCTTGAAGAGTCCGTGGCAGATCACACTTTGAATTCAACCGCGCAGGCAGAGTCGAGCCAAAGGAAAAGCTCCGCAGCGTAACGCTTTCACACTGCGACGGTGCTACGGCGAGCCGAGCCCTGCACATCCGGTGTGTTAATCCTCCGTAGGCCTCACTCGCAGCTGCTGGCCTTTACGATGCAGATGTTGACCTCTCGCACTGTTCAGCACACAAGACGCACGCGGCAACTACTTTACTGCTGTATATTTGTTTATTCCAAAGCGAATGTTACATCTGGTGCCGTTTCCCGGGAGCGAAAGGCCCCTCTTGCCCGTATAATGACAACTGGATGACCCCTGGTAATGTCTCCAAATGCCCGGGGGCGTTGTGTGTGTTCCAAAGTGCCCCTGCATTACCCACAAGAGGCTCTGCTGAGTATTTTTTACACTTGCCACATTTACAGGACCCTTTGGAATAAGCTTCTATGCCAGGATGTGTGTGTGTGTGCAATAACTCCCTGGGGGGCTAATAGAAGGAGCAGAGACTTTATGAGATCGATAGCGCTATTTGGCTCACGATGCATATTTGTTTAAATCATTTTCAGACTAGTACCTAAACTTGCAATAACTTACTTGGAATCATTTGCGGCACTTTCCACAGCCGGTGGTCCTGTTCCTGCAACACAAGGAGCCCTGAATGTTACATGAAATCAGCATCAATTGGCTTTGGCTCGATCTTCGGCCACCAGTGGCGGCGAAAGCACAAACGCAGCATGGAACCTGCTAACTGGCTCGCCAGCCAGAGGTGACTTCAGCTCCGCTTGTTTTTTAGTAATTATAGAGGGTCGGGTGAGAAAACATTTTGGCATTTTGACACTAAAACATTTAATTTAAAGACAACGTGGGAATGACTGCTGTTGGCTGTTTTTTAGACGGTAGTTTTACGCTCCTCCTGAATGCACTTCCCCGGTGAATAGAGCTCACTGGCAATATTAAGTTTCCCGGGAGCAGTCTGAATAAGCGGTAAATAGACTGGCGCTGGGATCTTTGCTGTGTAACGGTTCACTGTGCTTTAAAAGGGAAATATTTTCATTTAATTCAATATTGGATTTTTATTAACGTTTTTTTATCCATATTTTTCCAGCGGTAGTTTTTTCGAAACCAAATGAGGAGCAACTACAGTGTTGGTCATCATTACAGCTAATGCTGTATTGGATTCAGTGCCCCTTTGACTGCGCGTTTGTCCTCGTTCAGGCCGATAAGCCTCCTGTGAGCAACATCAGTAGCTGAGACGGTTGCAGAGATCCGCCTGCCGCGTGTAATGGATTTCACGGACGCCGATCGACCGCTTCGAGGGAAGAAAACGCTCGGTGCTGAATGCTGCTGTAATAAAGTTATAACACTTACTTACACTCATGCAAGAAACGTGTGAAGGATGTTTCAGAGGCTGACTTAATTAAGTATTAGTTTAGTGTTTTTTACCCTCTTGGTGGCCTGTCTGCTGCAGACTGGTCAAAACGAGTCATATTTTTGAAAGGAAAAACCAATAAGCACAAGGAAAGAACCCGTGATGAAGCCTCCATGTGTAAAGTCCCTGAACCAATGAAATTGCCTCAAGCGACGCGGCCGTGGCAGAAAAAAAGGTAGAAATAAAACCATGTGATCAGTGCACTTGCTTCAATTCGATGGTAATCTGCAGGAGAGATGGAAATGGAATGATCATTACAGTGATGAATCCCCCCCCGCGGAGGGCTGCCCGGAGACGAGATCTGCAACAATGCAAGAAGAGGTAAAAATGCGTCTCTTCGGGGCTTCGTGCTGCTTTCGCCACTGGCTGTTTGCTGTGGTTCAGTTCGACGCCATTAAACAAATCCACAGTAATCACAAATACGGAGCGCGGGACGCCGTTCTGTGCCGAGCCTCTAGTAATGGACTAAATGAGCCTCTGCGCTTGTTTGCGTGTTCCTATCAGCTGGGGATGTGATTGTAAATTAGAAGAACTTAGCTTGCCGCTCGCCCGCTGCTGACTTGGGAATGGTATTGGATTACAGCGACTCTAATAGTGTCCCCCTAATGTCTCCCTTAGAAAGCCTCCTGGCCTCTCACCGACGGGGAACGTTTTCTTTTTATACTTAATCTATAACGACAGCTGGAGGAAGAACCGCAGGCACAAAAGTGTCCGGTGGGTCAACATGAGCGGCTTTGATCCGACAGTAATGGTTGTATTTAATGCGCACGGGTGGGCGGCGCAGTTCTCGTTTATTTCACCAAAAACAAAGTTAAAGTCTGAAAATCAACAGGTTTGGTCGACCTCAAGCAAAGAATAATACACATTGTTGCCCTTTTGATTCTGGAAGGGTTCATAATCATTTGAAGGGTCTTTGGAAACGCAGGTGCGTCCTCTGCTGAACGTGATGCAAACAGCTGGAATGACTCTTTGATTCATGAATATTACGTTTGCTGCAGTTTTCTTTTCTATTCATTTCTAATTCCTAATGACATCCACCCGATCGATGTTTTATTGGCTTCATCTCATTAAATTGCTATAATCCTGGTGCCAGCATATAAGAACATTCAACCCAATGTACCTGCAGTCATTGTCATATAGAAAGACCAAGATGTTTGTGGCTATTTAAAACATATGAATCACTTACAGATGAGTACAAACATAACACATATCACACAACACGATATATAAATGTATGCCACCAAAACATACTCGGCGCTCTTTGTGTCCTCAGGGGCCAGCTGGAGGTTCAGGCATTTGATCCGGATTCCTCACGCTGGTTTATTTGTGCTCATCCGACTGGTAGAAGGTCTGAGAATCCACAGGAGAACTTGGACAACTTTCCCGGCCTCCAGGGATCATGGCGAAAATAAAAGGTAGGGGGGGGCAGTTACTGTACTCTTTTTGTTATTCATTGAGGAACTCACAGAACACAAAGTAGGACACAAACAACTGCTCTTCCCTCTCTGATGTATCAGCGAAGCTCCCTGCACTTCCTCCCATATGCCTGTTGCCATGGCCACCAAGCGATTTGCATAAATCCACTCATAAGACCACTGACTTGCAGTTAAAGATGCATTTAATAATAGTTGAGGCTTTGAGATACGTCTCTACTGGACTCTTCGAGGGTTTGATGTCGTGCATCTAACAACACATGTTGTATGTGAAACGTGGAGTTGTGTTTGTGATTTGGTAAACAGACCATGTTTCTGCTGACGGCTCCATATGGCGACGTTTTCATCGGACTGTGATTCACACACATTAAAATAAGGCTTTTTTTATCCTGCAGAACTTGATAGAATCTGTTGTGACGGAGCCCTTTTCATGAACATCAGCCCTCAAGAACGTGCGCAGGATCGTCTCCTGGGCAGTTTCTGTAGATTCCGTAGACATGTGCGATCATCAGGCCGGGCGGTGTGAGCTTTGTTGAGGAGCAGCGGTTCATCCGTGTTGGTTGGCCGGAGAGCGAAACGTTTGGCCGGATGAATCGATGGGAGCACAGTTGGCTTCTTTGCCCCGTCGCCATCCCCGTCCCGAGAGAGAGAGCAGCTGCTCCTCCAACCAGAAGCTCCGGGAAACTTTCCAGCTCGACGAAAGCGTTTGACCGGCATATTGTCCAAAGTTTAAACGTTCCTTCCTGATGAATTTGATCAAAGAGGGAAATCTGGAGAGGAGACCAAATCTCCTTCTTTAACCACCTGGCTTAGTGTGTGAATCTGTCGCAATATTGTGTCTTGTGTGAGAAACTCTTGACAACAGCATCAATTAGCAGTGTTTTCTCCACTGAGTGCTTTCTTAAGAGGCTTAAATGGTGTTAAATGAACCGACGTGCTCCACTTTGCTTCTGTTAAAGAACTTTGATCTAAATTCATATTAGGAATGATGCTTCAGCAGTCTACAACGATAAAAAACAGAAGCAAGTCAGCATCTTTGCACTTCCCCACGTCTTTGTCTCTGTTTTTAGTTCAGGTCAGTTGTTGATGCAAGCTGAAGAGATTTTAACGCTGTGAAAATGAATCAATGGTCTCAATCACTAGTTTCAAGTCTTCTCCTATACAGCACGATGTCCATTTAGTAGATGATGGTACATTTAGAGTCTATAAACTTAACCCAAAAGAACAGTAATCAGTCACCTTTTTCTTTTTTTTAATATACTTTCCCGCCTTTTTGTGTTTCCTCACCTTTGCGGTTGACCTTACCGCCCCTTAGCTCACCTGTGTGTGATCACTTGGCCCTCACGTGTGTCTCCTGTTTCAGTGTGTGTGTGTGGAGAAACAGAACGGAGCCCTTAACCTGTCTTTCCTTTCAGTCGTTACACATATTGCTCCATAGGCGAAGGTACAGGAAGCTGACTGAAACACCGTCACGTTCCGTATTCATACATACTACTATCTCCATTTCCCCCGTATTTCTTATGATTGTGATTTAATTTGTATACAACCCACAATATAATAATGCTGTCTTTGGAAAATGATTTATTGGCAAAGAAAATCGAATTTGTCAACTTGACTGAACAAAATCATGATAGATGATACAGAAAGTGTTTTGTGTCGTTTCCCTCACTGACTTTAACTGTATTCATAATAAAAGTTACACATTTTCTCATAAACTAACCACATTTATGGGCGGTTGTGTTACATACTGTGTATTCTTTACCACATTGTGCATAACTCCAATACTAAAACCGATGTTTATCATCTTCACACGTTGAGATTAATTATATCCGTCCAATCCGCCACAACGTCTGGTGAATAATGGAGATGCCATCAGAGGGGAATGTCGGCAGGGAGAAGCCTTCTGTGAGGGATGCTCAGCATCCTCCTCCGTCCAGCGGGAGCAAGGAGATGGCTGAGCGACTTGTGGTCCTGGGAAGATTGAATCCTGGTGCAGCAGTAGTTTGTTTTATGGAAGACTAAATGACACCTGCTGATTAATCAGGGGACTAAATACACCCTCTTTGCACCCACATCACCTGCCATCCAACGGACACATGTGGATACACACTAAACACACCTGCACCGTCTACTTACAACGCAGTGCTACGTACATTTAAAAATGTAGTAGTAGCCTCACAGAATACCTCCAAGTAAACAACGGAACGGGTTCTTAAAGCCACCTTTCTGACAAAGAGATTGGATTCATTTAAAACCTTCTTGTGAAATGTGTCTGGTTGTGTGTTTGTATTCACATTTACATAATATGTATCGATGACCCTCAGAGCTCTGAAGGTTCCATCTTGGACGTTCATGTGTGTCACTTGGATACAGATGTTATGTCACCATCCAATCCTGATCAAACGGGGCGAACCGGCCTGAAATCCTCCCACAAAATGGTAATGGCCTTCCTGAAGCTACAGCTCTGTCACACACACACACACACACACACACACACACACACCGTGACCACTGCTGCAGCATCCTGTGGCGCACGCACACTGCACTGTGTGGCGCCGTCTGTTCCCAGTTTTCATGCCACTATAACGACCCTGTGCATTCAGCACATGTTCAGCTGGTTATCTGTGGAAGAGGACCAGAAGATCAGGACCAGAAGATCAGCACCAGAAGATCAGGACCAGAAGATCAGCACCGGAAGATCAGCACCGGAAGATTAGTACCGGAAGCTCAGGACCAGAAGATCAGTACCAGAAGCTCAGGACCAGAAGATCAGGACCAGACGATCAGGACCGGAAGATCAGCACCAGAAGATCAGCACCAGAAGATCAGCACCAGAAGATCGGCACCAGAAGATCGGGACCAGAAGATCGGGACCAGAAGATCAGCACCAGAAGCTCAGCACCAGAAGCTCAGGACCAGCGCTGGCTCTCGGGGGAAGAGAGTGTGTCCCTGTAGCCGCGGTGGTTCACTTCTTGCTTGAATCCAAGGTTACTTTCTTTCTGTGTCGGGAGCTCAAAGGTTCTTCTGAGGAATCACCAATGAACCCAATACCTTTTGTATGGATGGACTTAGCGTGGTGATGATGTCAGGGCCGCTGCTCACACATCATCACACATCGAGCGTGCATCAGAGATCCGTGTGTACGGTCTGACAGAAGGAATTTCATATCATATCCACGAATAGGTTGGTATTGATCACCTGAAATAAAGATGCTTCTGTATTTTTGTAATTTGGTCCCTAAGTGACATCTGAACTGTTTGGTATATTTTAATAAATAATGGGTCTGTTGAGATCTTTTTTTTGTGTTAACTGAAATGGAAATAAATCTTTTTGCATTACTTTTTTCTCAGTGAGGACAGTGAAAGATTCTGCACAATAGCTGAAATCTTTTTGCCTAATTTCACACATTCCTCCAGTCCCACATTGCATTTGTCCGTACACCTAAAAGACTGCTCACCACATCAAAGAGTTCCCATTCCTACCTTCACTTCCTGTTTTCAGCCAGGCTGTGTTATTGATTGCAGAATGACCATTCCTTTTTTTTAATTTTTATTTATCATTGAGAAATCAGTCTGCAATAAACATCCGGCACCACCGCCCCGACCCCCCTGTTCACAGCGTCCGCGTCATCTCGATGAAGGAGCCGTTGTTCACGAGACGTTTACAAAACCGCAGAGTGCCGTTTCGCTGAAATGTGTTGTAGAAAATTGTTGCATCTATTTCTCCGCTTGCTCGTTACGCGGGCGTCAGAATGTGGTCGGTGAAGCCAGCGAAATATATATTCTAGCCACAGTAATTGTGAAGCACTTGCAAAAACATGTGGATGTTGCTTTCAGCAGAGGCAACATTATCATCCATCAGTATTGAGAGAGAAAAATGCACTCTGTGTGTTTTGTGTCTCTTTTACTTTCTTTACGTGTGCTGATGTTATGTGCATCCGCACATACACAGGATGAACCCAGTCAAACCATACATTACCGTATATATATATACAGATATATTCAAATGGACATACATTTGTTATTTCTTGGTACTATTGTACTGTGTTCATCAGTAGTCAAATTCCCTCTTTGACAAATCATATTTGCCCATAAACCATTTCTCATTGTGATTCAGCTCTTTGTTTTAGTTTCATGATACTCAGCGTGGATTTTAGCAGCAGAAGTAGATTAAAGTGGAACTTTCTTACAGTGGGCACAGTACCTGCCCATCAACACACCACGGATGTTGTGTGTTAGATGTATACATCTATAATATATATATATATATATATATATATAACATCAGCAAGTAATCAGACCTACTGCACCTCCATCTTCAGCATCACCTCTAAACTGCTCAATTCAATTCCACGATTGTTGTTGGAGTGACTCCAAATTGCAAATGTAATTCTGCCCTGGAGATGATCAAATGTGTGTAGTACAACAAAGTGTCTAAGAGTGTTTGCTAAAGCGATTACTAAAGCGATTACTAAAGCGATTACTAAAGCGATTACTCGTTAGTTTATGAGAACTTTTAATAACCGTTAATCCAGATGAATGAATTTCAAAATGTGAGATTAATTAGTTACGTTTTTTTAAATCTATTGATCGGCCCTAATATATAGATATAGATCTATCTAGATCAGTATATATAGAGAGATATGGATCTATGTCTACATCTAGATAGATATATACTGTATACTGTATATCTGTACATGATACTATACAATGAGCGGGTTCAAATTCCTTGTGTAAGTACACATTCTGAAAAAATCATTTCTTTTCAACTTTTACATTTTGAAACTTTTCTCCTCACAAGGATGAAGGTATACAAACACAGCAGAAGGTCCCCAACCAGCCGAAAGCTAATTCACAAATGTAGGATTATGGATGATCACGTGACAAAGCGTTATCACCGAGAAACTTTCACTACCCAGGGACTTGTTTTTGTTTTTAAAGGGCGTTTTCTGGTGTAATGCTGGCTTTAGAGAGGAGAAACATTGGCCACGGGAGCGTCGATGGTTCATGAGCCATTTGAACCGTCTGTGTTTCTACGTTGTCTCCATTTAACAGCCGCAGAATGCGGGTGGCGTGCAACGGTAACGACCAAAGCACAGCGCCAATCCCCGCAGCTCGGTCATCTCACGATCACGGCTACGGTCGGTGTCCTCCGGCCTCGGTGAGCTGCTGTAGCTGCACTCGCTCAGACGGCTATCAATCTCACTTCAATGACACGGCCGCCGCTGAAGGCCACTGATGAAATGCTCAAGAAATCCGGCCTGTGAGCCTCCAGGAGCTCAGAATAAATCATGAGCTCTGAAGTGTTTTTTGACCCTGTTACCGTTTTCTACTGGCCTTGTTTGAGCGTTGAGTGTTTCCAGCCATTCTTAGCTTGTTAACGACATAGAAAAACCGGCGCTGTCTGACTTCTTTTCTCATTAAGAGACAACACGAGCCCTAAAGTGTCACCATAAGTGAAAACACACTTAAAATGAAACATTTTCAGTTTGCATAAATATGGCTTCAGTTTGCACCATCAAAGGTCTAGTTTCTGTCCACTCAAGACTTTTCTTTCACTTTAAATGCACGTCCCAGCAGAAACCTCTGGTCCGGAAAAGTGAGGCCAGGGCTGATGTGTCTGAAACCACTGACCACCGGAGGGCGACGCCTCTGGTTGCCGAAAGTCTGAGGAAACGACTTGATTTATTCCCTCTGTGACCATTTTAAACATTAGTTTATGGTCTCAATCTCTAGTTTCAGGTTTTTGCCAATACAATGTGCTTTAATTTCATGTATGTTGATTGAAAACGGCAATCTTAAATATCATAATCCTGAAGCTCACAACCCAATGGATGATGTCAACTTTTTATATACAATTACAGTATAAGGGAATTCACCTCAAATGTACCTGATATTCCATCAGCACACAACTTTGAAAACACTGCATTTACACATTTTTTGAACAGGATATATGACAGATATTGATCTGAGACAAATGGCACTCAAGATTGGGAACAGTTTTGTCTCCTTTGTTTGCCTAAAGGGACACACACACACCAACATCTGTCTTTGTCGTTTTGACAAAACCGCCACAGATGTCTGATGCTAGATAGCAAACCGGTGTCAATGGCGCTGCATTAAACTCGCTGCCCATCTATCAGAGGCAGACGATGAGGAGGGCTGATATCACGCAGGACAATGAAACATGAAACACGCCAGTTGGAGCCTATCGAAGGATCTCAGGCATTCAGTTGAGGACACGGAGCTCAGGCAGGACAAAGAAGCAGTCAATACACATATTTCCAACATGCATTTTATTCTCCAAGCCTGTTTAGCTATTGTGTATTTAAAAAAGGGTTATTGAAGAAAAATCAAAATTCCATTCATGCATAAAGCGTTGCTGTGGATTATCTCTCACCAATACAGCAGACGGGAGGGAGCCGATGGACTGCGGATGCCTCTGGATGAACATCTGTTAGGTCTGTGAGGTGATGTCCATAAATCTTAACTGGCTTCTTCTAAAAGTGTTGTGAAGGCCCACCTTGTTTGAAAAAAAATGGGATCCAAGATAATGAACTTGAAGCTTTTTTTTAATGGACAAGATCAAAATACGACATCAGTGCAGAGAAGAAGCACCGGGGAGACTTTGTCAAACTTGCTCTGGTAAATACTTCATTTACCAAGCGGATGGAAGCGCTCTTATTTAAACTTTACTTTTGTCGCCTCATTTGTAACACTTTGGATTCCGTTAATCGTGAAATAAA